TGTACCTTATATCCCCTTTTCTTCTCCTCGGTTTCAGCTCGCATTGAATCAGAAATGTGTACTTCCCCTGCTCCAGGAAGACATTCGGATAAACAATTCAAGAGCTCTTTTGTGTCCTGTACACTGTGTGTCCGGCCTGTTCCCGTCAAATAGGAATTTCGCGATCAATTCAAATCGATATATCTCTTCTGTCAGAAGTGGTAACCCTAGCGACGATGATCCATTTGATCTTTTGAGCGCTAGCCTACAAGATGAAGCTTCTGGAATCATAGTATATCCTGTTGATAAGCGTGGTCTGTTTTTAATGTTGCTGGATGCAGCTGCTTATGAGTTTCTTTCTGTCTTTTACCACTGTTGCCTCTCTTTCTCTCTCTCCCTCTCTGTCAATATCTTTCTCTCTCGCTCCCTCCCTCTCTCCCTTCCTCTCTCTTTCTCTCTGTCTCTCTGTCTCTCTGTCTCTCTGTCTCTCTCTCTCTCACACACACACACACACACACACACACACACACACACACACACACACACACACACACACACACACACACACACATACATACATACATACACACACTGTTTGCCCCTAGGTGTGTATATCCATTTCCCTTCATACATCTCTTTCAATCTCTCTCTCTCTCTCTCTCTCTCTCTCTCTCTCTCTCTCTCTCTCTCTCTCTCTCTCTCTCTCTCTCACTTTCTATCTATCTATCTATCTATCTATCTATCTATCTATCTATCTATCTATCTATCTATCTATCTATCTATCTTTCTGTCTCTTTCTCTCTCTCCCCCTATCCCTCCCTTTGGTATAGGTACACTCATCTCTGCATCAGACTCTGTCTGTTTGTCTGTCTGTCTGAATGTATTTTCAGTTAAACAGTGGTTTGTTTGCTTACAATCTGAATTGTGCTTTCATTTGTTGCAAAGTTTATTTCAAAATGCCCATTTCTTGTTATGGGGCGCTGTATTTGTTTTTTTGGTCTAGCGAAGGGAGCAGTGGATAGTTTTGCTCATAACAAAATCACTTTAAAGCCTAGTTGTTCGAGTAAATATGTGACTATTTACCGTGCATAAAACGCTTTGACTATAATAATATTAATTCCCTATGTTGGTGGAGGGGGAGGTGAGTTACAAGTATTGAGTCACAGAACATCTTAACAGACAAACTTCAGTCTTGAAGAAAACCCCTTATCTCATTATTTTAAGTTTGAGTCATTAAGTTTTTAAGTAATTATCTGCTCAGGTCTCTGATGGAGTTGCCTCCATATTCAAACGACCTCATTTGATCCGCTTACAAACGTTGTACGCCAGAGATATTCCAGCAGATTTTAATTCTGTGGCCCTTCTGAACTAACCAAGTGCCTTAGCTGTGAAATGAACACATTGTGTTTTTCATTCGTCTTTTATTTTTATTGATGCTCCCAATGCAAAACACAATCTCCTCAGCTGAGCCTTAACGTAATTGGAACATGATTGCGTTTGACGGCGAATGTGAAACCAGAATCCAAAGAGCAGTTGTCGACACGCAGTGATTGATTCGAGATTAATGACTGCTTGGCACACTTTTGGCTTTTAGACGTCGAGGGTGGTAGGACGTAATTGTGGACGATTTCTTCATGGAATTCGGTGCATCCGATGTGATGTTGATAACTGTGTTGCCGTTCGCGTGATTTTGGGCTTTTGAAGGCATGGGTGACGGGGATCAATGACGAAGTCAGATAATCAAACATAGAATTCAATAATTGAACTCCTGCAGAGTTACGTCATTGGCTTTCACAAGCTTTCTATTCTATTTTTTACTTCTATGTATTTTTATGGAGACAAAAATTAGATTTCTTCTAAAAATACATGCACAAAATAAAGCTCACCGAGGTTCTTTCATTTGCATTCTTTATTATTTCGTTTATCTTCTTTTCCATCTTTCTATGTGTTTAAGGATGTGTTGTTTATTTACATAGCAGCTCTCAGTTATAACCGTGGAACTGCATACATTAAACACACATGACTTTGCGATGTTTTACTGGGAAATATAATGCACAATCGTGTACCTTTTCAAAGGCATTATTGTTTTCTCAGGTGTAGTGGGTTCTTAAGAAAACGCAACTTGTTCTCATCTGACAGCTTTTTACTTGTTATGTTCCTGTCATCCTTCAATAATAAATGTTCAAAAGTTGTTCACTTGTACATCAATTTTTTTCCCTATGTCTCTACCGCTTTTCAGAATTCTACATTTGAAATCAAGACACTGTACGTGTTTTGTCTGTGGGATTGAACCCTTTGTAGCATACATAACTATATTATTATATTATAAGTTCATAAACTTACTGCTCTTTTAGCGCAAAATAACTGTCATCATCATTATCATTACTTTTCTATAAGTAACAAAGAGATAACGACTTTTTGAAAATGTATGCTTTAAAACATTGTATATCATCAGCTTTGTCATCTAATCGTCATCATCATCATCATCATCATCATCATCATCATCATCATCATCATCATCATCATCATCATCATCATCATCATCATCATCATCATCATCAGAGCTTCCACATTGGTACAGCGAAGGTGGAGCAGCAGCAGTGGTGATATTGAATGATGAACCACCACGAACAGAAATTATTAAAATTAGAGGTGCACTCCTTACATCATCTTTTGACGAGGAATGCTAGGCAATGATGTCTGCTACACAATGGATTGCTGACAATTGCCACAGTAGAAACAATGTGCTGATCTTGACTGACAGTCAGTCCCTCTGCAAGGGGCTGCTAGGCAACAGCTCGGACATAAATGATTTGCGCCTCAAGTTCAGTGAAGCCACAGCCAGAATAAAAATCCAGTGGATTCCAAGCCATGTTGGAATACAAAGAAATGAGGCAGCAGACCAAGCTGCTAATGAAGCCAGGGAGATTGAAGGAGACAGACGACCAGCAACATGGAGAGAATCTTTCCAACGATCAAGAAGGAAATCAGAGCCCCACCATGTAGGGCTAAGTACAGCACCTGGAAGATGTGTATTCTGGGTACTCCTATAAGCGGTAACAAAATATTACATGTCGCTGGGACCAGGTTGAGCTAGCGAGACTGCGGTCGGACCATCATTGGAGCTTAAGATGTAATAAGAACTTTGTAAATGAAGAGCTCAGCCCATGTTGCCGAAGATGCGGCCATGAAAAGGAGGATATCAAACATATGTTTGATTGTCCAGGAACAATGGCAATTCGAATAGAATTATTTGGACGAGTGGAGGTGCCGCTAAGCAATGGAATTGACAATTGAGCCGAGAAAGAGCCTCGCTCTCGCTCGAAGATTTCTTCGTGGAGTCCGCCAGGCCCATTAAGGAAACAATTTAAAAAATCATCATCGTCATCATCATCATCATCATCATCATCATCATCATCATCATCATCATCATCATCATCATCATCATCATCATCATCATGGCAACTCAAATGGAGTTAATTGGTCGAGTGGAGGGGGTGCCTCTGAGTATAATGAAACAGTTTGTTTTACTTTTGACACTACCCTATTTTCACCATAAAACACCAATTTGAAACTCAAAAGGCAGATAAATAATAAAACTAGGACTACTCGTCCAACTAAAACCAACGTATGTATGAATACTGCGGACTGTGCCCTTAAAGTAAGCTAGTGCCTAAAATGTGGCTGTAATACCAATGTCGATACTTTTTTTTTCATTTTCTCAAAACGACATTTTGGGCTCTCATACCAGCTCGTAAAAACCCACTCATAAAATAATTGTTGTTCAAGATATCCATCTGAAATTTTGCAAACATATTCTCAAAGCTCTGAATGCTGGACAATCACTAAAGACACTAAAAAATAAAATAGAAGCAACAGAAATGTCGTTTCTTAGGAGACTGCTAAGAGTACCGGGAAAGGAAAAGAAATCAAATGATGTAGTGCTTGATGAAGCCCACGTGGGACGTTCACTGTTAATAACCATCAGAAAACGACATATGCTGTTTTTAGTTTAGGACACCTGAATAGACAGAAAAGTCTTGAACATCTAGATCTCACTGGCGAGATTGAGGGCAAGCGAGGCAGGGGTAAGCCCAGAGCAACCTACTTGGGGAACCTGAACAAGTGGGTGACAGGGAAATATCAGGGAAACGTAGCTTTATTAAGAGCATCCGAGCACAGAAATGAACGGAGATCCATGATCGCTGATGTCTGTCGCAAATCTGGCACTGGATGATGATGATGATTCCCAAGATAATGAGGTATGTTCTAAACCTGAAAAAGGAGTCCCATCTTGAAAACTGGCATTTAAATGTGATTCCTGCATACATAGGTTACTTTTAGAATTATTTTTTGGTCACTTTCATATTCAACATCAATACTAACGCACAATTTTGTCCCAATAGCTGCTTTATTAGGTTTAGGACACGCAGTGGGTATTCAAAAACATTTCTTGAAAGTTTAAACTTGCACAAATTCTAAAAGGTCTTTGAAATACAGTCTTTCAAGTAACATGCCTACATTTTGCCTTTGGCGACCTTAACGGAAGCCTGGTTTGCATTTTCAATTTCTTTTTTCAACATTCAAACATTTTTCTTCACAAATAAGGCACAAACATAATAATAATAATAATATGGTTAATATATTGCATGGTAGAAAAAGATTATTTAAAAAACAGGCTCTAACTTTCTGATACATTAACTGAGATCATAAGGCTTCATCGTCAGCTTCTCTCTCTCTCTCTCTCTCTCTCTCTCTCTCTCTCTCTCTCTCTCTCTCTTTCTTTCTCTCTCTCTCCCTCTTTGTCTCTCTCTCTTTCTTTCTCACCCCCCCCTCTCTCTCTCTCTCTCTCTCTCTCTATCTCTCTCTCTATCTATCTATCTATCTATCTATCTATCTCTCTCTATCTCTCTCTCTGTCGACGGTCTGTGGTGTAACAGGAGAGCTGAGTTCAGTTCCTGAGTGGGGAAAATTTGTATCAAGTATCACAGCCTTTCTGCTGGGATGTTGTTTCCCTCTAGTCCCAGGTGGGTCATGACAAGCAGGGTCGGATGCCTGCCTCCTAAATGATATAAATTGTGTCGATGGGGGCCGAAAGAACACATATATCATAATTATAAATTCTCTCTCTCTCTTTCTCTCTCTCTCTCTCTCTCTCTCTCTCTCTCTCTCTCTCTCTCTCTCTCTCAGTCTCTGTTTCTCTTTTGAATTCTGTCCCCGTCTCCCTGACTGGGACTGTGTATCTGTCTCTTCTTCCCCTAACCTGTTTTTGTTTTCATTTTGTTATAGATCCATTCATTAAATAATATATTTTCAACAAGAACTCTTCAGTATTGATCGCAAAGCTGAGTCCCTCTAGTAAACAACAAGTTGCAGCCCCATCTTTTTGTGGTTAGATGGGCCGGGTCCCGGTGGACCACACATCTATTATTCTCTCACAGGCAGAATACTCTGCACCATAACTCAACCCAGCGCCTCGGGGCTTAGCGTCCATTGAATAAAACTACACACAGCCATAGCGGCGACAGAAACGGCACCTATAAGAGCAGCAGTCGCAGCAACAGCAGCTCTAAACCCAGCAGCAACAGCAACAATGTAGACAGCAGCAGCAGCAGCAGCAGCAACGGTGCCTTTGTTTACTTCCTAACGCTCCCCTCCCCCAAATCCCAACTCCCTCCATAGCGAGATCACAGCAGAGCCAGAGGGTGGGGAGGACTTGGGGTTCTCCAAATCAATCAATACGATCAGCATCAATTATTGGCCGCGTGACGTAGGCTGGTGCCGCGCGGTGTTCTGGGATATCCAGAGCTTCGGTTTCCCAGGTGAGATTGAGAGGAACAGAAGAGGGCCCCACGCCCGCTGGTACATTGAAATCTAGGAGGAATCCGGTGGGTCAGTACGTTAACCTGAATAATTTTTATTTACTCCACTGTGTTTTACTACTTATTTTGCTTGGATGGGTTTGCCACTGTGAAGTCATACAGTTAGGTTATAGATTTTACTGCTTTTTAATTCATATTAATATACAGTAAGTGTTTGGATACCCTGCCTCCTTGTGGAATGGTTGTCATACATTACTTGGTCTTTTCTTTGTTCCTCTACATTAAGCAATGCGTTAGTTCGAAAGTGTTTGCTACTGTGAATTTGGTTATTATGACTACATGTTGTGCTGTATTTTCAAACAAATACTTTACATATACCTTGCCATGTGTAGGAAATTTTACCCTGAATTGTTTTGCTCAACTTTCCACAATATTTAGCAGTTCATAGCTTTTGAAGATTTTATAACTGTCTGAAATCATCCTTTTAGCTGTATTATTATCCTATTTTAGCAAACGTATAATTCGTGGATACCTTACTTTTGTAAAAGAAAATTTACGATGAAAGACAGAAAATATGAAATATTATGACCTTGCAGCTAAGACTATGAAATAGATGGATTTAGTAGTTCCTATTAATGGCGAAGCTACGGGGCAGATCTGTTTAGTGAAGTTTTATTTTAGCTCATATTGTTAGAGAAATGAATAATATCACAAGCCAAAAGCTACACGTACTCGTTGACTGAAATTAACTCACCTTTGTACGCTGTACCTGTTTGTTTGGGCTTTTTTTCTTCCCAGGAACAGGTCTCTATTTTCCCCTTTGTAGGGAAACTTCCTTTTACTTGTACACTAGAGTTTGGCTTTGGAATTGTCACGCAATATGCACGTATTGCTATTTCCTATTTTGTTCATTGTAGAAGACTGGCGGTTTGAATTATCAATGTAAGTAACAAGTGCTTCCTGTTGATTTTTTTTTGTTTTTTTTTTTTGTTGAAGTAAAATAATATTCACTGAATGGCCATAGCACAAACACCTCAGTGGGTGTGCTAGATTTTGGTTGTTTCGTGTTACAGTTAGTTGACAAATTACCCTTGGTCTAGAACTGGGCTACCCAAAAATGTTTATTTTATCTCCTATTAACCCATTCTTTTTACAGTTTAAGAGCTTGCTTGAAAACATACCTGCTTTAGAAAATTAAAGAATCGTATTTAATTGTCTTGTTCAGTCTTTGCGTGTGTGGTTCAAAGTTGAATTTCCAAGTTACCTAATGGTGTTACGCGACAATGATTAGCTACAGTCAGTTACCATGACTGGAATAAGGAAAACATTGATGATGACGGTGAAGTACTTGTCGTAAGTCTAACAGATGTTTTTCATTCCATATAGTATATAGGAGGTGCATAAGCACTGTCACACAGGACTAATCTAAAGAGAGCCTCCCCCTCCCCCCCCCTAAAAAAATACCGCTCCCTTTTCCGATACTCATTATAATATAACTTTATAGATCGTATATCGGTGAAGACATGCGTAGTGCCCTCGGTTTGATGTGGCGAAAATGGTAATAAAACTTTGGGCTAAAAGTCAATTAACCCCATCCCATCCCCACCCCTTTTTTCCTTTCTTAAAATAAGTTAAAGCTATTTTAACGCGTGACGTCACAAACCCAAAAGTGGCCCCATAGACAGTATAGACCCCGGAT